TCAAACATTCGCCAGAAGTGCATGTGGGCGAAACTTGACCTCGCGTTACTCTCGCGAACTTCTCGCCAGTAGCCGTTCAGACCTTGTCAGAACATCGCGCTGACCATAAAACGAGATAAATCACCTGACTGTAACAATTCCCTCCCCAAAATTGGCGCGAGCAGAGTCGTGCCGCATCCAGAAGTTTAAGCCGTCGATTCGTGAATCATCGAACGACTCACGACACTCCGTGAAAGCACATTCTCCGAAGCACATGCGACGCGCGAAACCGAGTGTTTTGTAAGCGCGATCTTCACCGTTCGTCAAATCGCTTGGAAACTCATCCGTAGATCAAGCACAGGCACATTCCAGGAAACAACCAAGCACAATTTCTTGCACACAGAACCGGCAAAACAGGCTTGATGACGGTACCAAAATTGCCACCTCCGCCCCGAACACAGGCACAGGCAATATACAACAACTTACAACCATTGGACTCCATCGAGAAAAGTGGTCCGATGGGCCACCCCATTTTCAACACCCCCAACATTTTTGCGATGTCCCCATCTTACACTGCCTACCGTACATCAGTCAAAGGGCGCTAGGCCCTCCCCCAGTTGCAGCAGCTTGAGATCCGCCCTGAGGTGCATCACCCTGTTTCTCAAGTACTTGCCATTGTGCCTCACAACCGCGCTCCAGGGGTTGAGCAGGCTGCGGTAACCGCGCTGTCTGAAGAGCCCTTTGAAGGTGTGCGAGGCAGTGTGCTTGTGCTGCAGCAACTGCCCCGAGGAGGGCTCTTTCACGCGCAAGGTGAACTCCATGCTCCCACTGTCGTCCACTCCACCACCCTGCCGTGCGTGGGGCTCCTCTCAAGGGGGGGAGAGGGATGGGTGGGGGTGTGAGGGAGGAGTGAGCAACATGTGAGGACAAGGAGAGCAACATCCAAAGCATCTGCCGCAAAATCTATCCGCCAGGCCTCCATGATCCACCCTTCCTCCTCGCCTGCCCCTCCCGTGTCACACTGTCACTCTCAACTCCCCACTGTAACACCTTGTACTTGTGGCAGCAGCATTCGAGAATCAAACCTTAACACTGAGTCAACTCCCCCGAGTCAACTCCCCCGAGTCAACTCCCCGGAGTCAACTCCCGGGAGTCAACTCCCCCGGATCAACTCCCGGGAGTCAACTCCGCTGAGTCAACTCCCCTGAGTCAACTCCCCCGAGTCAACTCCCCGGAGTCAACTTCCCTGAGTCAACTCTCCCAAGTCAACTCCGCTGAGTCAACTCCCCTGAGTCAACTCCCCCGAGTCAACTCCCCCGAGTCAACTTCCCTGAGTCAACTTTGGCCACATCTTTTACTTGTGGCAGCAGCATCTCCAGCATTTTCCTATGAGTATTGCGGTGGCTCACAACTACCAACCACCCACCCACTCAACCAACCACCCACCCGCTCATCCACACACCCCCAACTACCCACCATCCACCTAGCCCCCCAGTGCCCAACCCCCCACCCCCCAGCCACCTTACCTGGGCCGTCCCCACATTGAGCTGGCAGCAGTAGGAGCAGCAGACGGCCCAGTGCCTCAGGAGACTCAACTCCCCAGAAACCACCCATCCCACCCACATACTCAACTACCTACCCACCCTGTCACTGCCCGCCCACCCACCTGCTCACCCACCCACCCCCAACAACTCACCAGCTACCCAGCATACCTCACCCCTTACCTCTTACTCACCCACCCAAGGGAATTCATCCCCCTCCTCTCTCACTCAACCACCCAAAGGGATTTAACCCCTTCCCTCTCACTCACCCAACCAAGGAGATTCAACCCCCTTTCCGCTTACTCATGCACCCATGGGGATTCAGTCCCCTTACCTCTCCCCTCACCCACCCAAGGGGACTCAGCCCCCTGCATCTCACTCTCACCAACCAACCAAGGGATTTCAGCCCCCACTCTCTCCCCCAAGAGGTTTCAACCCTCACTCTCCCACCCAAGGGGCATCAGCCCCCACTCTCCCAACCAAGGGGTTTCAGCCCCCACTCTCCCACCCAAGGGGCATCAGCCCCCACTCTCCCAACCAAGGGGTTTCAGCCCCCACTCTCCCACCCCAAGGGGCATCAGCCCCCACTCACCCCAGCCCCCCACCCAGCCCTCCCTTCCCCTACCCTACCAGCAGTAGGAGTAGCAGACAGCCCACTTCCTTAGGGAAACAACACCCCCAAAGGCTGTGCCTCGTGGGGCGAGGTGTGGTAGTGGAAAATTGCTTCCAGCCCAAGACTCAAATCCCACCCCTGACGTAGCCAGAGCTGACGCGAACCAGAGCCGCCGGCCGGTCGGCTCTGACGGTGTCCATTAGGCCTTGAACGCCAGATCGGTTACTTGAGCACCGAGTGCCGTGCCGCGCAGATTCCACCCACCACACCCCACCCAAAAGACACAACCCCAGGCGGTGCTGCCCCTAAGGCAGTGAACTGCCCACTCACTCCCACCCACCCACCCACCCACCCCACACTTCATCCCCATGCCTCCTTACCTCTACTTACCTGTACTTACCTGAGCCGTGCAGAGCGCCATGATGCTGAGGCTGCTGGGAAGGAAGGGGGGTGATTAGGAGGCGGGGGGGGCAGGACTCCTCTGTGATCCAGGCAGGGTGCTGCTGGGAGGGAAGGGAAAAGGGAGAAGGGAGAGGGGGGAGGTGAGTAAGAGGGTGCACTTCACTCTCCCGTCCTTGCTCCACTGCTCCCACCTTCTGCCTGCAGGAGGGAAAGAGAGAGAGGAGGGGATCAGCTTACCATACCTCACCTGTAACCATACCACACCTGTTACCATACCAAACCTAGTACCATACCTCACCTGCTATATCTACCCTGGTCTGCCCTCTAGACCCCCAGACCCCATTGCTGCTATTGCTGATGCTGCTGCTGCCGCTTCTGCTGCTGCTACTGCTGCTGCCGGTCTGCTACTCTGCTTCCCCTGCTGCTGCTACTGCTGCTGCCGGTCTGCTACTCTGCTTCCCCTGCTGCTGCTACCGCTGCTGCCGGTCTGCTACTCTGCTTCCCCTGCTGCTGCTACTGCTGCTGCCGGTCTGCTACAGCCTTGGACGCACTGGGAGGGAAGGGAGAGGGAGTGAGGCAGGGGAGCAAGGGAGACCAGTGAGAATGGGACGAAGAGCAGGCAGCAGCGTGAAGACAGGGAGAGGGCAAGAAACGAGAGCGAGCACGGGAAAAAGACCGGCAGCAGCATAAGTGCATGAGGGAAAAGAGGCTCACCTTGTTCCAGACGACCCCATCCCGATACTCTCCCATTCCATCCCAGCCGAGTGGAGTGCTGCCCCCCTCCCTGCACGGCCACTGGGGAGGAGCGTGAGGGAGCGTCGGTGTTGACCCCACACCCCTCCCCGCCACCTGCAACGCGCACACACAGAGCTAGTCAGAGCGCGGTGGTGGGAGCAAGTAGAAGGGGAGACTGTGACTTGAAATCCAGCGCAAGGGAAGGGAGGAGGAGCCACTGGTGGAGGCACGGCCACAAGCTGCAGACCCAAGGGCACCTGAGAAAATACCTGAGGGGTGTACCTGCACCTGAAGGGGTTACCTGCACCTGAAAGGGTTACCTGCACTACACCTAAGGGGGTTACCTGAAGTGAGGGGGTCTGAGGCATGCAAATCGTGCTCAACCAGTGGCAGTGTTTCAAAGGGAAGGCGAATGCACAACCGGCAAAGGAACTGGCAGCAAGAAAGCAACAGTGTGAAAACGACAAGAGTGATTCAGTATGAGCAGTGAGCAGCAGGCAAGAGTGAGTCCAGGGAGGTGAGAGCACTTAGCTGGCAGCTGAAGAGCCGCCGAGAGATGCTGCCTCGTGTCCCCTTCCCTCCCCTCCCCTCCCCTACTGCTTCCGCGCCCCCTGCTGCTGACGCTGCCACAGCAGGTCCCTTCAGCTGTCTCTGCTGCATTGCGAGTGACCTGGAGGGGGGCAGAACGGAAGGGAAGGTCAAGTGTGGAGTGAGTGCAGGCCTTGATACAGGCACGGGCGAATCAAAGGGATTAGCGCAAGAGGGCAAGTTAGCAGAAAACGAGTGCAGCGGGAAAGAGAGGTACGAGGCTTACCTTGAGAGGCCAAGCCCATCCCGATACTCTCCCTTGCTGCAGTGGGATTGCCATGCTGCAGTGCTGCCTCCCTCCCGTCCCCACGAGTCCCTGCACGGCCACAGGGGAGGGGCGTGGGGAAGCGTCGGTGTTGACCCCAGCGCCCCTCCCCTCCACCTGCAACGCACACACACGGCGGTGGTCAGTATGCATGGCATGGGCACAACACAAGGCAGAGACCGGAAACTGCCAAATGTGGAAGAGAAAGGGAGGGCCACTGGTTGAGGCCAGGCCACACGCCACAGACGCCAAGGGAACCTGCACCTGAAGGGGGGACCTGCACCTGAGAGGGTTACCTGCACCTGAGGAGATACCTGAAGAGAGGGGGTCTGAGGCATGTAAACCGAGCTCAACCAGTGGCATTGTTTCAAAGGGAAGGGCGAAAGCACAACCGGCAAACGAACTGGCAGCATGAAAGCAACAAGCCATGATGTGGCGGGCAAGGGTGAGGGCATGGAAGTGGGTGACTTAGCTGATAGCGTGAGGGCGAGCTCAAGGCAGCTGCAGCACCACCAGCTGCCTCTTTCCGCAGCAGCCCTCCTCCAGGTGCCTCCTCCCTGCACGGCCACAGGGGAGGGGCGTGAGGGAGCGTCGGTGTTGACCCCACACCCCTCCCCGCCACCTGCAATGCGCACACACAGAGCTAGTCAGAGCGCAGTGGTGGGAGCAAGTAGAAGGGGAAACTGTGACTTGATATCCAGCGCAAGGGAAGGGAGGAGGAGCCACTGGTGGAGGCACGGCCACAAGCTGCAGACCCAAGGGCACCTGAAAAAGAACCTGAGGGGTGAACCTGCACCTAAAGGGATTACCTGCACCTGAGAGGGTTACCTGAAGTTGAGGGGTCTGTAGCATGTGAGCAGTACTCAACCAGTGGCGTTGTTTCAAGAAGACGGTGCAACAGCAGATGAAACAAAGGAAACGGTATGGCCAGCAAGGGTGTGTGGGCATGAGGGAACGGGTACTTAGCTGATTGTGTGGTGCAGGCGGAGGGGGTGCTTCAATGGAGAGTGGGCAGGGCGAGCGGGGCTTGAAGGGACGGACCTGCGAGGCAGAGAAGGGAGAAGGGAGAGGGAGATAGAGAGATAGTAAGGGGCAGGTGGGCGGGAGTGACTCTTTTAAACGAGAAGACAGGCAGAAGTGTGAGTGCAAAAAAGATTGTGCATGTGACGCCATCCACAACCCCACAAGAGCCGCTACCAACCTGAACCTGCACCTGAACCTGAACCTGAGGGGGAGTGGGCTCGAGTGGAGTGTGGTGGCAGGGGCGATACTGCAACCTCCAAGACGACAAGAAGCTCAAATCCATCTCCTCGGGGCAGCCTCCTGCTCCCACAACGGTGAGCCTTCCAATGCCATTCATTCAGTCCCTCCCTGCTGCCCCTATCCTGCTGCCACTGTCCTTCCCCGAGCAACGCTCTCCATCATAGAGGACGGCTAGAAGCTCAAATCCATCTCCTCAGGACAGCCCCCCGCTCCCACCACGGTGAGTCAGGCAGGCAGTGAGTCAGGCAATGCCATTCTATCCCCACTGCCCTGCTGCCACTATCCCCCCCGGAGCAACGCTGTTCATCATTGAAGACGGCAAGAAGCTCAAGTCCATCTCCTCGGGGCAGCTTCCAGCTCCCACCACGGTGAGTCAGTCAAGTCATCCAATGCCATTCCCTCCCTGCTGCAAATGACCCTCGCCTCCACTCTCTTCGCTGTCGCGGCACTCCCCCTGTCCTCTTCCCCTAAACCCACTTGCTCACTTCCCTCCCCTCCCCCACTGCCCCTGCTGCCTCATGTCATGCATCCCTCGCCCCCCACCCATCTTCCCCTTCCCTTCCCCCCACCTTTCCCACCTCCCCCGCTTCCCCCGCCTCTCCTACCTCCTTCACCTCTCTCTCTCCCCCTCTTTTTCAATCTCAGGCGGGCACAGCAGGGCATGCCACAGCACCCTACGAGCTGCAGCTGTCAGGCATGCCACATACAGGAACATTTAAAACTTCTCACAATCTCCCATCCTCCTCCATTACTCCCCCACTCCCCCCACCCACTCCTCCCCCTTCTTCCCTCTCTTCCCTTTCCTCTCAGGCGAGCACAGCAGGGTATGCCATTCCATTGCCATGGCACCCTACGAGCAGCAGCTGCCAGGCATACGAGAAGGGGGCAGACACACGCACGAGCTTTTGAAACTTCTCACAATCTCCCCTCCTCCCCATATCCTCCCCACTCCCCCGACTTCCCCCCCCTTATTCCCTTTCATTTCAGGCGTGCACAGCAGGGTATGCCACAGCACCCTACGAGCAGCAGCTGCCAGGCATACAGGAGGGGGGCAGCGGCACACACAACCTTCTGAGGTTCCTCACAACCCCCTTTCCTTCCCTCAATCTCCCCCCTCGCTTCCCCCTCCCGCTTCCCCCCTCAGGCAAGCACAGCAGGGTACGCCACGCCTGCCTACGAGCAGCAGCTGCCAGGGATGCAGGAGGGGGGCAGACACACGCATGTGCTCTTGAATCACCATCCTAACCCTCCTTCACCTCTCCCCCCCCCCCTTCCCATCTCAGGCGGGCACTGCAGGGTATGCCACGGCACCCTACAAGCAGCAACTGCCAGGCATACAGGAGGGGGGCAGCGGCACACAGGGACGTTTGAAACGCCTCAAACTACCCATCCCTCCCTCCCTCCCTCTCTCCCCCTTTTCAGGCGGGCACTGCAGGGTATGCCACACCAGCGTATCAGCAGCAGCTGCCAGGCATACAGGAGGGGGGCAGCGGCACACAGGACCTTCTGAGGTTCCTCACAACCCCCTTTCCTTCCCTCAATCTCCCCCCTCGCTTCCCCCTCCCCCTTCCCATCTCAGGCAAGCACAGCAGGGTATGCGACGCCAGCGTATGAGCAGCAGCTGCCAGGCATACAGGAGGGGGGCAGCGGCACACAGGAAACCCCCAGCCCCCCCTCCTCCACCCCTGCTGCTGCTGCCGCTGCTGGGGAGGGAGGAGGCGCAGGAGGAGTAGCAACAGCAACCACAGCAACAGCGGCAGCAACAGCAACTAGTGCCAGTACTGCTGCTGCGGGTGCCAGTGCAGTAGGGGCGAGTGGGGGAGGGGGTGGGGGAGCAGGAGACGAGGGGCTATCAGCACTAGAGCTAGCCCGGCGGAATTACCGCATGCAAGCAACAGCCAAGGTGCAGGCTGCGGAAGAAGCAGCTGCGGGGGGCGCAGGGGGAGCAGGGGGTGCAGGGGGAGCAGGGGGCGCAGGGGGAGCGGGGGGAGCGGGGGAAGGTGCAGGGGGGGGCGCAGGGGGAGGAGCGCCGGGGAAGGGGAAGGGGAAGGTGAAACCGCCTGTGGCGGCGAAGGCGAGATTGGAGAAGAAGTTTCAGGAGAGAGAGGGGCAGTCGAGCAAGCGGCTTAGTGGCAGCAGCGGAACAGTGGGCATAGCAGCAGGAGCGGCTTTAGCGGGAGCAGGAGCAGCAGCCGCAGCAGCAGCAGCAGCAGCAGCGGGGGCCACAGCAGGAGATAGCACAACCAGCAGCAGCATTCCTGCTGCTGCCAACCCCGCTCCATCCAACCCTCTCACCTCCTCCCTCTCCATCCGCCTCTCCACATCAGATCTCGACGCGCTCCCAAGGCAGGATTTCAAGCAGTACACACTTGAAGAGCTGCAAGCGGCTATGGACCATTTCTGGCCGAACAACGTATGTGGCGAGGGCAGCTACGGGGTGGTGTACAAAGGATGGCTGGACGGGCAGGCTGTGGCGATTAAACAGCTCAAGAACCCGGATGCGAAAGCAGCCTTGGATGAGATTGAACGAGAGGTGCGTGCGCGTGTGTGCATGCTCTTGTCTGGTTGATTGAGAGAGACAGAGTGTGGGTGGAGAGGGCAGCTACAGCGTGGTGTACAAGGGGTGGCTGGACGGGCAGGCCGTGGCGATCAAACAGCTCAAGAACCCTGACGCCAAAGCAGCTCTTGATGAGATTGAAAGAGAGGTGCGAGGGGTGTGGTGGTGTAGTTTGTGGTTCCAACTTCTGTAGATGGACGGACAGGCCGTGGCGATTAAACAGCTCTACAACCTCGACGCTAGAGCAGCTCTTGATGAGATTCACGCCCTGGTCACACGCACAGTTCCAGGAGGACCACATGCTGACTCCACCCCTCCCGACCCCTTGCCCCTCATGCCGTATCCCCCTCATTCGCTCCCACAGATGGAGATGCAGAAGCGCATAGACCATCCGAACGTTGTCCACCTACTGGAACTCCTTCCCTGGAGGAACGCCATCCCTGGAGGACCGTGCGCTGGTCTACGAGTTCCTCTCCAATGGCTCCTTGGAAGACCGCATGCTGACTTCTCCCCATGCACCCATCCCTTGCTCCTCATACTGTATCCCCACCTTCACATGTGGAGGTGCAGAAGCGCATAGACCACTGAACGTCGTCCACCTACTGGGCTATTGCACGGAGGATAAAGCTTTCGTGTACGAGTTCCTCTCCAACGGCTCCCCTCCTGCTCGCTTTCCTGCTACCTTCCCCTCCTCTACCCCTTGCTCCTTATTCTGAATCCCCCTCATCCGCTCCCACAGGTGGAGGTGCAGACCATCCCAATGCTGTCAGGCTACTAGGCTATTGTACGGAGGACAGAGCTCTCGTCTACGAGTTCCCCTCCAACGGCTCCTTGGAGGACTGCATGCTGACTTCTCCCCATGCACCCACCCCTTGGTGAGCCCACAGGTGGAGGTGCAGAAGCGCATAGATCATCCCAACGCTGTCAGATTGCTGGGTTACTGCACGGAGGATCGGGCACTAGTGTACGAGTTCCTCTCCAACGGCTCTCTGGAGGATCGCATGCTGACTTTTCCCCATGCACCCACCCCTTGCTTCCCTTGCTCCTCATGCTGTATCCCTTCCTTTCATCCATTCCCCACAGGTGGAGGTGCAGAAGCGCATCGACCATCCCAATGCTGTCAGATTGTTGGGATACTGCACGGAGGGCAGAGCTCCTCGTCTACGAGTTCCTCTCCAAACGGCCCTCCCCCTGCTCGCTTCCCCTGCTGCCCTCTCTCCAACCCTTGCTCCCCATGCCGACAGGTGGAGGTGCAGAAGCGCATAGGTCATCCCAATGCAGTGCGTCTACTAGGTTACTGCACGGAGGATCGTGCCCTCGTCTACGAGTTCCTCTCCAACGGCTCTCTGGAGGATCGCATGCTCTGCGTTGGTGGAACTCCCCCTCTCGTGTGGCCCGAACGCTGCCGTATTGCCATGGACGTGAGCGGTGCAGTGCGGTGCAGTGCGGTGTAGTGCGGTGTGGGCTGAGAGTGGGCTGGGAGGACCTCATGCTCTGCGTCGGCGGCACTCCCCCTCTCATGTGGCCCGAGCGCTGTCGCATTGCTATGGAGGTGAGCGGCTGAGTGCTGTGCAGTGCGGTGTAGTGTGGTGTGGGCTGAGAGTGGGCTGGGAAGATCGCATGCTCTGCGTCGGCGGCACTCCGCCCCTCATGTGGCCCGAGCGCTGCCGTATTGCCATGGAGGTACTGTGTGGTGTAGTGTGGTATAGTCTGGCACTGTGTAGTGGTGTGCGGTGGTGTGCGGAGAAGTGTGGTGTAGTGATGTACAGTATGGCATTATGTGGTGTGGCATGGTGTGGTGTGGTGAGGTGTAGTGTGGTGTGGTGTGGTGTGGTGTGGTGTGTTGCTGTGTGGTGTATGTTCACATCAGCATGAAGCCCACCTCCGTGCTGCTCAGAGTTCACTGAGGCTTCCATTTACCCCTTCCCCCTCCGCTTCCATCCACCAATCAGGTAGCAGCAGGTCTACAGCACCTGCACACGCGCAAGCCCCCAATTGTCCACCGACGATGGTGGGGGAAAGGACGATGGTGCTGCGCATGCGCAGGGCGGGTGCTGTGTTTTGTTGTGATGCTGTGTCTTGAATCATGGTGTGTTGCTGTGTAGATTCTCTGCTAGAAATTGGATGAAGTTGTGGTATCGAAGGTTAGAGACCCATAGATGGATCTGAAAGAATCTTCTACACTGATATTTCCCATTGTGAGACAACATCAGAGGATACATAAATACGCTGCATACCATACAGAAGTGGTTCAGTTGAGTGTAATGTGATTGTACATTGTGTATGTATGGATCATGGTCTTTACTTTGACTACTCCATAGAGGATGTGATATAAGGTTGGGGGTGCTGATACCAGGTCCATTTCTCTCTTCCATTGCTTGCTTCTCACTGTCTGTCGCCCTCCCTCTCATCTCCCTCTCTCTGCTCTTTCCCTTACTCCTGCCCTCCTGCCAGCGCTGGTACATCCTACGCAGACATATTGAGACGGAGGGGGTGCGTATGTGCAATGAAGTGTGCTGTGCAGATTGGAACTGAAGTCACACACCTGTATGTATCTTATATTGACCATATAAAAGGTGTCAAGTCTGTTAATTTTTTCCAACAGGTCACAGCACACTTAGCCTCCAAATCATACCTTGCAACTTCAGTTAATCACATAAAGAACAAATAATAAACAATCAATGTCTTACACGCTTTTACAGGGTAACTTCTTACATCTGACACAGTATCAGGCACATTATAGGATTTGTCTGTTCTGTTGCCTTCCCTTTCTCCCTTTTCTGTTGCTTTATCTGCTGCTTCGCACACCTCCTCTGCTGCCCCACACCCCTCTGCATATTACCCCTCTGCCCCACACCCCTCTGCATATTACCCCTCTGCCCCACACCCCTCTGCATATTACCCCTCTGCTTCACACCCCTCCTCTGCTTCACACCCCTCCTCTGCTTCACACCCCTCCTCTGCTTCACACCCCTCCTCTGCTTCACACCCCTCCTCTGCTTCACACCCCTCCTCTGCTTCACACCCCTCCTCTGCTTCACACCCCTCCTCTGCTTCACACCCCTCCTCTGCTTCACACCCCTCCTCTGCTTCACACCCCTTCTCTGCTTCACACCCCTCCTCTGCTTCACACCCCTCCTCTGCTTCACACCCCTCCTCTGCTTCACACCCCTCCTCTGCTTCGCACCCCTCCGCTTTGCTTCGCACCCCTCCGCTTTGCTTCGCACCCCTCCGCTTTGCTTCGCACTCCTCCGCTTTGCTTCGCACCCCTTCTCTTTGCTTCACACCCCTTCTCTTTGCTTCACACCCCTTCTCTGCTTCACACCCCTTCTCTGCTTCACACCCCTTCTCTGCTTCACACCCCTTCTCTGCTTCACACCCCTTCTCTGCTTCACACCCCTTCTATGCTTCACACCCCTTCTCTGCTTCACACCCCTTCTCTGCTTCACACCCCTTCTCTGCTTCCCTCTTTTTCGTACCCTTCTCCCTCTTACCCCTCCTCTGCCTCTTACCCCTCCTCGGCCTTACCCCTCCTCTGCTTCACCCTTTCTTCCCGAAGGCAGCAGCCCTTAGCATCGTCCTAATCAACACATATGACCTTCGTTAGCAGCCTCCAGCAGATTCCTTAGCAGCTTCCCCACTCCTTCACCTCCTCTTCAGCATCACGGCATAAAGGATTTGACTGTTCGGTGAGAGGCGTAAGATTCAGAAGGCACCAAGAGGCAAAGACCCTCCACACCCACGCCAGTGTGGAAAAGCCCGGGGCATCAAGTTCTCCTCACCCACGCCAGTGAGGAAAAACTTGTGCTGACCGGGGCACCCCAAGAGAATGGCTACCTGGAGTGTGTGGTATCTTGCGAGCATGATTCTGCTGCAGTCAGAATCATGCAAGACAAGACCAGACTCCATCACACATTCCCTTGAAACTTCCCGGGCAGCGTATGTCACAGCCTCTTGGCCTGAGCATGCACACTCAGTTGCCTAATGTTTCTCCACGCCGCCCACCATCCCAGTCAACCCCTCACCACCGCTCTGCCAAATGTTTTAGCCGCTTCCCCCCCTCGTCTCCTCCCTTCACGGAATCGCGGATACTGCGGCTGTTTCAGTTAGGCTATTTTAGTGCGGCTGAAATCTGCTACAACTGCTGCGTCGTCGGCGTTGACCTGCTACGTCAGCTGCGTCGTCGGCGTTGACCTGCTACGTCAGTGTGTCGGCTGCTGTCGAAAAGTGTGTCTGCTGCTGTCGAAAAGTGTGTCTGCTGCTGTCGAAAAGTGTGTCTGCTGCTGTCGAAAAGTGTGTCTGCTGCTGTCGAAAAGTGTGTCTGCTGCTGTCGAAAAGTGTGTCTGCTGCTGTCGAAAAGTGTGTCTGCTGCTGTCGAAAAGTGTGTCTGCTGCTGTCGAAAAGTGTGTCTGCTGCTGTCGAAAAGTGTGTCTGCTGCTGTCGAAAAGTGTGTCTGCTGCTGTCGAAAAGTGTGTCTGCTGCTGCCGAGGAGTGTGTCTGCTGCTGCCGAGGAGTGTGTCTGCTGCTGCCGAGTGTGTCTGCTGCTGCCGAGGAGTGTGTCTGCTGCTGCCGAGGAGTGTGTCTGCTGCTGCCGAGGAGTGTGTCTGCTGCTGCCGAGGAGTGTGTCTGCTGCTGCCGAGGAGTGTGTCTGCTGCTGCCGAAATAGTGTGTCTGCTGCTGCCGAAATAGTGTGTCTGCTGCTGCAGATGAGTGTGTCTGCTGCTGCAGATGAGTGTGTCTGCTGCTGCAGATGAGTGTGTCCGCTGCTGCCGAGTAGTGTGTCCGCTGCTGCCGAGTAGTTTGTCCGCTGCTGCCGAGTAGTTTGTCCGCTGCTGCCGAGTAGTTTGTCCGCTGCTGCCGAGTAGTTTGTCCCTGAAGAGACTTATCCGCCCTGAAGAGACTTGTCCGCCCTGAAGAGACTTGTCCGCCCTGAAGAGACTTGTCCGCCCTGAAGAGACTTGTCCGCCCTGAAGAGACTTGTCCGCCCTGAAGAGACTTGTCCGCCCTGAAGAGACTTGTCCGCCCTGAAGAGACTTGTCCGCCCTGAAGAGACTTGTCCGCCCTGAAGAGACTTGTCCGCCCTGAAGAGACTTGTCCGCCCTGAAGAGACTTGTCCGCCCTGAAGAGACTTGTCCGCCCTGAAGAGACTTGTCCGCCCTGAAGAGACTTGTCCGCCCTGAAGAGACTTGTCCGCCCTGAAGAGACTTGTCCGCCCTGAAGAGACTTGTCCGCCCTGAAGAGACTTGTCCGCCCTGAAGAGACTTGTCCGCCCTGAAGAGACTTGTCCGCCCTGAAGAGACTTGTCCGCCCTGAAGAGACTTGTCCGCCCTGAAGAGACTTGTCCGCCCTGAAGAGACTTGTCCGCCCTGAAGAGACTTGTCCGCCCTGAAGAGACTTGTCCGCCCTGAAGAGACTTGTCCGCCCTGAAGAGACTTGTCCGCCCTGAAGAGACTTGTCCGCCCTGAAGAGACTTGTCCGCCCTGAAGAGACTTGTCCGCCCTGAAGAGACTTGTCCGCCCTGAAGAGACTTGTCCGCCCTGAAGAGACTTGTCCGCCCTGAAGAGACTTGTCCGCCCTGAAGAGACTTGTCCGCCCTGAAGAGACTTGTCCGCCCTGAAGAGACTTGTCCGCCCTGAAGAGACTTGTCCGCCCTGAAGAGACTTGTCCGCCCTGAAGAGACTTGTCCGCCCTGAAGAGACTTGTCCGCCCTGAAGAGACTTGTCCGCCCTGAAGAGACTTGTCCGCCCTGAAGAGACTTGTCCGCCCTGAAGAGACTTGTCCGCCCTGAAGAGACTTGTCCGCCCTGAAGAGACTTGTCCGCCCTGAAGAGACTTGTCCGCCCTGAAGAGACTTGTCCGCCCTGAAGAGACTTGTCCGCCCTGAAGAGACTTGTCCGCCCTGAAGAGACTTGTCCGCCCTGAAGAGACTTGTCCGCCCTGAAGAGACTTGTCCGCCCTGAAGAGACTTGTCCGCCCTGAAGAGACTTGTCCGCCCTGAAGAGACTTGTCCGCCCTGAAGAGACTTGTCCGCCCTGAAGAGACTTGTCCGCCCTGAAGAGACTTGTCCGCCCTGAAGAGACTTGTCCGCCCTGAAGAGACTTGTCCGCCCTGAAGAGACTTGTCCGCCCTGAAGAGACTTGTCCGCCCTGAAGAGACTTGTCCGCCCTGAAGAGACTTGTCCGCCCTGAAGAGACTTGTCCGCCCTGAAGAGACTTGTCCGCCCTGAAGAGACTTGTCCGCCCTGAAGAGACTTGTCCGCCCTGAAGAGACTTGTCCGCCCTGAAGAGACTTGTCCGCCCTGAAGAGACTTGTCCGCCCTGAAGAGACTTGTCCGCCCTGAAGAGACTTGTCCGCCCTGAAGAGACTTGTCCGCCCTGAAGAGACTTGTCCGCCCTGAAGAGACTTGTCCGCCCTGAAGAGACTTGTCCGCCCTGAAGAGACTTGTCCGCCCTGAAGAGACTTGTCCGCCCTGAAGAGACTTGTCCGCCCTGAAGAGACTTGTCCGCCCTGAAGAGACTTGTCCGCCCTGAAGAGACTTGTCCGCCCTGAAGAGACTTGTCCGCCCTGAAGAGACTTGTCCGCCCTGAAGAGACTTGTCCGCCCTGAAGAGACTTGTCCGCCCTGAAGAGACTTGTCCGCCCTGAAGAGACTTGTCCGCCCTGAAGAGACTTGTCCGCCCTGAAGAGACTTGTCCGCCCTGAAGAGACTTGTCCGCCCTGAAGAGACTTGTCCGCCCTGAAGAGACTTGTCCGCCCTGAAGAGACTTGTCCGCCCTGAAGAGACTTGTCCGCCCTGAAGAGACTTGTCCGCCCTGAAGAGACTTGTCCGCCCTGAAGAGACTTGTCCGCCCTGAAGAGACTTGTCCGCCCTGAAGAGACTTGTCCGCCCTGAAGAGACTTGTCCGCCCTGAAGAGACTTGTCCGCCCTGAAGAGACTTGTCCGCCCTGAAGAGACTTGTCCGCCCTGAAGAGACTTGTCCGCCCTGAAGAGACTTGTCCGCCCTGAAGAGACTTGTCCGCCCTGAAGAGACTTGTCCGCCCTGAAGAGACTTGTCCGCCCTGAAGAGACTTGTCCGCCCTGAAGAGACTTGTCCGCCCTGAAGAGACTTGTCCGCCCTGAAGAGACTTGTCCGCCCTGAAGAGACTTGTCCGCCCTGAAGAGACTTGTCCGCCCTGAAGAGACTTGTCCGCCCTGAAGAGACTTGTCCGCCCTGAAGAGACTTGTCCGCCCTGAAGAGACTTGTCCGCCCTGAAGAGACTTGTCCGCCCTGAAGAGACTTGTCCGCCCTGAAGAGACTTGTCCGCCCTGAAGAGACTTGTCCGCCCTGAAGAGACTTGTCCGCCCTGAAGAGACTTGTCCGCCCTGAAGAGACTTGAAGAGACTTGTCCGCCGTGAAGAGACTTATTCGCCGTGAAGAGACTTGTCCGCCACGCCAAATGGTTTGATCTGCACATAAAACAATATAAGTACAACGTAAAACGCCAAACGCGAAAGTAGCATATATCCAAATGAACAAGGCCGAAAAAATGTAAAGTGTTCAACAACCGTGACTTACTTTGGAGTTTTGAAGTACAAAGTTGAGGATCTGCCCAGTCGTATGCTGTGTTGCCGCGTCTGGAACTTCGCGGCATAATTGCCTTCGCGTGTGAAGCTTCACTGCCTTGAAGCCTCCGCGTCTGAAGCTCCGCGACGAAGATTCCGTTGCTCCTGAATAGAAACACAGACAAAAGCAGGAAGTTAGTGAAGAAATTGAGAATTCGAAAACAGGAGAAGACGACAAATGCGAAAATGAACATGAATGGGGTGGAACGTTCGTGACGCTAAGGCTGCAGTAAGAAGAGGGAGGAGAAGCTATTCTACCCAAACCCAAAACCCGACCCGCGGAGGATCATCTCCTCACTGCAGCCCTTGCGTCAGAGGAACGGTGGAGAACGACGAAAAACACAAATGGCGGAGTGGCGAATTGCGATGAAACAATTGACAGAAGAGCAGTAAACGGAACGAGAGAGGGAAGGGAACGACACTTCCCGATCTCTTGGAGTTGGCGACGAAGCAGTCATGCGCGTCCTTAGTCAAATCGCCCGTAGTACGCGACACGGGAGAAGTGTTGAAGTCCTCAAAGAATGCTCGATAAAAGCCCCGCAAGTAAAGATTCCTGAAAAGCACACAAAAGCACCAAGTTAGTAAAGAGAACAGGAGATAAAAGACAAAATAACAAAGACGAAATAAAATGCAAAAATGAAAATAAAAACAAAGACAAACGAAATCGAAAAACCGACAAGAAAAACAGAACGAGGGTGGAACGTTCGTGACGCGCAAGCTGCAGCCAGAAGAGGGAGGAGAACTAAACTACCCAAACCCAAAACCCGACCCGCGGAGGATCATCTCCCAACTGCAGCTCTTGCGTCAGAGGAACGGTGAAACGTCGAAAAACACACAAGGCGGATTGGCGAGATGCGAAACGGAACAACGAAAGAACACGCGGTGAAGGGAGAGGAGGGAAGGAAGGGAACGACACTTCCCGATCAGTCGCGCCGAAGCAGTCGCGCGCACGCCCGTCACACGCCACACGAGAGAAGATTGAAGTGCTGAACGGTGATGCGAGCACCAGCGGGTGTGGACTGGTTGATGCTTTATTCGCGGATTCTTGAGCAGAGGCAACGTACTTGACTTAACTTGATTACCTGCAAAGGTTAAAAGAACTTAGTTAGAATAAACTCAGATCTGAAAAAGAAGTTGATTCAAAACGGCAGAAACCAAGAAGCTTGGGAAAATAACCAAAGCTTACCTCTGGAGCTGGAGAGAGAGGCTGGGCGGTTTGATGGCGGGTTGATGGCGGGTTGATGGCGGGTTGATGGAGAATGGTGATGGAGATCCAGCGGGTAACAATAGGTTGATGCTTGATTCGCAGCTCTTTGAGCAGAAGCCACGTTATTGACTTGCGCTTCATATCCTGCAAAGGTTAAAACGACTTTGTTAGGATATACTCAAATCTGAAAAACAAAGTTAAGCAAAACGGCCGAAAATCAATAGGTCAGGGAAGGAAGCCAATGCGTACCTCTGGAGCTGAAGAGGTGGGCAGGGCGGAGGGCGGTTTGATGGCGGGTTGATAGAGGCTTTGGTGGCAAATGGTGATGGGAGCTCCAGCGAGTGCGCATTGGATGATGTGTGTTCCACAGATTCTTGAGCAGAGGCAACGTTCTTCACTTGCACGTGATTGCCTACAAAGGTTAAAAGAGCTTAGTTAGAAAAAAATCAGATTTGAAAAGAAGTTGATGCAAAACGGTTGAAAATCAATAAGCTTGGGAGAATCAAATAGCAAAAGCTTACCTCTGAGATGAAGAGAGAGGCCGGGCGGTTTGATGGCGGGTTGATGGCGGGTTGATGGCAGGTTGATGGCGGGTTGAACGTCACGTTGATGGCGAATGGTGATGGAGATCCAGCGGGTTGAACGTCACGTTGATGCTGGTTTTATAGCTTCTTGAGCAAAAGCACCCTTGACTTGCACATGTCCTGCAAAAGTGTAAACTTCGTTAGAATACAATCAGATATGGAAAAAGAAATTTAGCAAAACGGCCTAAAATCAATAAGCACGAAAACATGACAAATGCTTACATTTGGAGCTTGGTAGGTGGGCAAGGCGGAGAGCGGTGTGATGGCGGTTGAAATCGCGTTGGTGGTAAATGGTGATGGAGCTCCAACGGGTTTGGACTGGTGGATGCTTGTTTCACAGCTTCTTGAGTAGAGGCAAAGTTCTTGACGTTCACTTGATTGCCTGCAAATTTTAAAAGAACTTAGTTACAATAAACTCATATCTAAAAAAGAAGTTGAAGCAAAACGGTTGAAAATCAATAAGCTTGGGAAATCAAATAGCCAAAGCTTACCTCTGGAATGGAGAGAGAGGCTGAGCGGTTTGATGGCGGGTTGATGGCGGGTTGAACGTCACGTTGATGGCGAATGGTGATGGAGATCCAGCGGGTGTGGACTGATTGATGCTGGTTTCATAGCTTCTTGAGCAAAAGCACCCTTGACTTGCACATGTCCTGCAAAAGTGAAAACAACTTCGTTAGAATACAATCAGATCTGAAAACAAGAAATTGAGAAAAACGGCCAAAAATCAATAGACACGGGAAATAACCAATGCTTACATTTGGAGCTTGGTAGGTGGGCAGGGCGGAGGGCGGTGTGATGTCGGGTTGAAATCGCGTTGGTGGCAAATGGTTGATGGAGCTCCAGCGGGTGTGGACTAGTTGATGCTTGTTTTACAGCTTCTTGAGGAGAAGCACCCTTGACTTGCACATGTCCTGCAAATGTAAACAATTTCGTTAGAATACACTCAGATCTGAAAAAAGAAATTGAGAAAAACGGCCTAAGATCAATAAGCACGAGAAGATAACTAATACTTACATTTGGAGCTTGGTAGGTGGGCAGGGCGGAGGGCGGTGTGATGGCGGGTTGAAATCGCGTTGGGTGGTAAATGGTGATGGACCAAGCGGGTGTGGGCTGGTTGATGCTTGTTTTACAGCTTCTTGAGGAGAAGCAACCTTGACTTGCACATGTCCTGCAAATGTTAAAACAACTTCGTTAGAATACAATCAGATCTGAAAAAAGGAATTGAGAAAAAAAGCATAAATCAATAAGCATGAAAAGATGACAAATGCTTACATTTGGAGCTTGGTAGGTGGGCAGGGCGGAGGGTGGTTTGAGGATGGCAGTTGGATTGATGGTGTGGCGTTGATGGCTAATGTTGATGGAGCTCCAGGGACGAGTAGTTGGTGGGGAAGAAACTGATATCGATGTAGTGCAATAGATTATGAGGTTGAAAGTCGCTCTGTTTTGTGTTGTGAGAAACTAGTCCTGAGGGCATCAAAGAGAACTGGTTCAGCCGCTCGACTCGCGGGCGTCTCTGTCATTCTACTTCGCGGGCGTTTTTCTGCCGCTCTACTTCGCGCCCGTTTCTCTGTCCTGCTCTTGTGAGGAGGCTCCCTGAGAGCAGCCCTTGTGGGGGAGCAGGCACTAGGGTTTCAGCAATCCAGCGGGGTGTGGTGGTCACCACCACTCGATGTCGGCGAGTGTTGAGCCAGGTTCTTTCCACGATGGCAATTTTTTCCACTGTACCGCTGCACGGATGGGTTGGATGCCCAGAGTACTGTACACGCATGTACAGTACCAAAACTCGGCAGCTCACCTGGAGGGATGGTCGAGATACAGTGCACAAACATTTCGTCCACAAACATTTCACATCCGAAGCGCGTCTCCTGACAACACTGTGGACGATTTTGCGCGAAAGGGGAGGCACGGAAATCACTGTTGACGTCACAACAGTACAAGCGGCGAAGGAACCATCGCCACTTAACTGTACCAATTTGTGAGAAGCTGCCTTACTGTCGGCGACTAGGAATCTTGCTACTGTAGTCGGGTCGCATCACGGGGGAATCTTGCTGACGTGATGCGACCCGACAAAAGATTCCCTCACGTCCGCGCCATACAGTGACCCGCTACGCAATGTAGAAAGAGCAATTTCTGTTTTGTGCATCGTGCCGATAAGATTGTCCCACTGGTCATTGTGCCGAAGATTATAGGTCTCGATACGAGCTTCACTATGACATTCTTCGTGCAAGATTACCGTATTTGTGAGCAGCTGGTGTGGTGTCTGGCAGCTTGTGCAGTCATTACAGCTTACGTAAACTCATCAGGGAGGAGGGAGGGAAATGTTGACAGAAATGGTGGCCTCACTGACAGCGTAGGCTCGCACAGGACTATGGAAATTTTTACCCACCGTAAGGAACTCCTTCCTGAATCACGATTCGTCACCATCCAAAGGTGCTTGCCGAATCGCGCGGCGGTGGTTACGCTTCTCCCACATCCTTATTCTTCGTTCTCCTGCCGTATTCCCTGGTTCTTCTAGTGTATCGCGTGATTATTGTCGTAGAAGTACGTATCTGACGCATTTAGCAATGGAGCCCTGGTGGGGGTAATGGAGGCGTACCGCGACGCGCGCGTGCAGTTTGTCATGAAAGTTGCCTGAGGTGCGCCTCAGGTACGCCTTAGTCTCAGTCTCTTTCGCTGTCTCTTCTCAGCTTCTCTTAGTCGATCTTCGATCTTCGATCTTCTCTTAGCATGGCGCTGCTGGGTGACGTTCCTGCCGCATTTCGCGCCTCCGAGAGCCGTTCAAACCCTTCTTTGCGATTCGCCAGCTCGCCGACACGAAAGCATGCTCCCGCGAACCCCGGAGAAATGTCATCAGATTCCTCGAACCCCTTATGGTAACATCTCGAACCCCGTATGGTAACATCTCGAACCCCGTATGGTAACATATCAAATCCCGTACTACACGTCTCGAACCCCGTATTTCAGCATCCTGGTGACTCTCGGCTCTTATTGATGAGGTAATTTATACCGAATGCGTATCGCCCGCGTTTCTTCCCCCGCAGAATGCGGAGCACCTGCTGTCGCTCGGCGCGCTGCAGCTGCTGCTGCCGCCGCTCGCGCAGGACAGCATGGCGTCCGTGCAATCCGCTGCGACGCTGTCGCTGGGCCGCCTGGCAAATGTGTCGCACACGTAGTCGCACCACCTCGTGCAGCGCAACGTGTCGCCTTCCCTCGTCGTTCCCTCTTCTTCTCTTCCTCTACCTCCCAGCAGCACCAATCGACATCACAAGCGCGCAGCAGCATATCTAGTCACGCCACGCCGATATCTAGTGCCGTGCTGCGCCACTCTGGCGCTGAGCTGGCAGAGGCGGGCGTGCTGCCGTTGCTGACGGAATGCCTTCCGGATGCCATGCTGGCAGTGCGGGAGACTGCTGCGTGCGCATTGGGCCACGTGGCGAAGCACAGCGGTGACATGGCGATGAGGGTTGGTTGAGACCGGTGCAGTGCGGTTGCTGGTGACATGCCTGCAGGTGCGTCCATGCGTCAGCTTGGCTTGTAACACATGCCAGAATGGCAGTAACTCCTTATCTCGCATCTCCTTATCTCACCCCATATCTCATGCGCCTCTTACTTATGCCCTCAGTCCCCGTGTTTCCATCTCTCCTTATCGCCATAACTCATGTTCTCATGTGTCCTTGCCATTCACCTCCACATATCTCATCCCCCCATATTTCATATCCTTATACCTCATAGCAGGACGAGGCTGTGGCGCGGATAGCCCTCTCAGTGGCAACGTGACGCCCCACTCGCTGCTGCGGCTGCATGCTACGGCCTTGGCAGATGCGGGCGGCATTACTGCCGTCATCTCTCTGTTGGGATCACCTGACGTCAAGACAAGGCGTCAGGTGCTCTCCTTATGCCTCTCGGATCACCTCTGCTGTCCTTTGCAGCACCACGCTTGCTCTTCCCTCCTCTTAACTCTGCAGCTGCCCTTCCCTTCTCTCTTCCCTTGTCGTTTGCTCCTGTCCGCATCTGCACAAGCGCTAGAGTTTTGCATCTCCACAACAACTCCTTTGCAACCATCTCCATGCCTCTTTGCACCCCTGTGCCTTGCTTAACCTCTCTGCACCCCTGTGCCTTGCTTAACCTCTCGTCTCCCTCTCTACCATCGCCAGCCACACTGAATCCCTCCCCTCTCTACCATCGCCAGCCACACTGAATCCCTCCCCTCTCATCCCTCCCCCACCCCTTCCCCTTCATCCATCCCTCCCTGGTTTCAAGTTCCGTCCCCATCCCATCCCATCCCATCCCATCCCGTCCATCCCATCCCATCCCTGCCAGCTACGATCAACAGTGCACGTGATCAAGAACGAGGACACGGGAGCAGCAACGAAGCTGGAGGCTACCCACATGGTGCTCGCTTCTGGTTTTGAGACGTCTCATAACTTACCTACCTTCTCCCCTTTACTCTCCCATCCCTGCCAGCTGCCGTCAACCGTGCAGGTGATCAAGAACGAGGACACGGGAGCAGCCATTCTCTTTGCCCCTTCCATCTATTTTTTCTCCCTTATGTATCCTTCCCCCCATCCCTGCCAGCTGCCGTCAACGGTGCACGTGATCAAGAACAAAAACACGGGAGCAGCCATTCTCGAGGCAGCAACGAAGCTGGAGGCTACCCACATGGTGCTCGCTTCCTCAGCCGGCAAGGGCGCCAGCCAGTGAGTGGTTGGGTGGGTGGGATGTGGGTACCAACCAAGTATAAGGGGGGAATTGGCGCGCACTCAAAGTTGCTCAGTTTATATTAGTCATCAGCATCGAAGCTGGAGGCTACCCAGTCAGTGAGTGGTGGGGTGGGTGGTGTGTGAGAAGGGAGTGGCCGAATGGGGATGAGTGGGGAGTCAGGAGCATTGGCGCGCGACCAAGGTCGTTTAATCTTAGCAAGAAAGCAGTGTCGAAGCTGGAGGCAACCCACATGGTGCTTGCTTCCTCTGCCGGCAAGGGCGCTAGCCAGTGAGTTGGTGTGCACATTAAAAACTCAGCCACTTGTGTTAAGCTCAGGCAGGTCGCTTGTGGCGCACCATCAACGCGTCAGCCACTTGTGTGAGGTCAGGCGCCACATCAACGCGTCAGCCACTTGTGTGGGTCGCCTGAAGCATGTGGCGCACCATCAACGCGTGTTGAGACCAGACCAGACAAGTCGCCTTAAATGCCACCCTCCTTGCATTGCATGTTTGTTGTCACAATCAGGTGGCACACAATCAACACGCGTTCAGACGAGTCGATAACTTTTTGGCCACCTCAAACGTTTTCCGCGCATGGTCTTCTTTTCTGCTTTTTGCTTACCAGGTGGCATACCATCAACGCGTGTTCAGATGAGACGAAACTGCCGCCCGGAGCAACGCTCTTCATCATAGAGGACGGCAAGAAGCTCAAATCCATCTCCTGAGGGCAGCCGCCCGCTCCCACCACGCCTTCCAATCCCTCTCTGCTGCCACCTCTATCCATACATTCCCTGCCTGCTGCCACTATCTTTCCCCGAGCAACGCTCTTTATTATAGAAGACGGCAAGAAACTCAAATCCATCTCCTCGGGACAGCCCCCTACTCCCACCACGGTGAGTCAGGCAATGCCATCCAATCCCCACTGCCCTGCTGCCACTATCCCGCCCGGAGCAACGCTCTTCATCATAGAAGACGGCAATAAGCTCAAATCCATCTCCTCGGGACAGCCGCCCGCTCCCACCACGGTGAGTTGTCTGACCCACTCTCAATCTCACTCCAATCCCCACTGCCTGCCACTGTCCACTGTCCCATCACCCTCACCTCCTCGCCTCGCCTCCCATCACCCTCACCTCCTCCTCCTCCGCCTGCTCCTCCCTCACCCCATCTCCCCGCCCTCCTTCCCTTCTCAGGCGGGCACAGCAGGGTATGCCACAGCACCCTACAAGCAGCAACTTACAGGCATACAGGAAGGGGGCAGACACATGCACGAGCTTTTCACAATCTCCCCTCCCATCTCCCCCCCACTCCTTCCCCTTATTCCCTCTCTTCCCTTTTCTCTCTGGCAAGCACAGCGGGGTATGCCACAGCAGCGTACGAACAACAGCTGCCAGGCATACAGGAGGGGGGCAGCGGCACACAGGAAACCCCCAGCCCCTCCTCCTCCACCCCTGCTGCTGCTACTGCTGCTGGGGAGGGAGGAGGCGCAGGAGGAGTAGCAACAGCAGCAGCAGCAGCGGCAGCGGTAACAACAGCAGCAACCAGTGCCAGTACTGCTGCTGCTGGTGCCAGTGCAGTAGGGGCGAGTGGGGGAGGGGGTGGGGGAGCAGGAGACGAGGGGCTATCAGCCTTAGAGCTTGCCCGACGCAACTACCGCATGCAAGCAGCAGCCAAGGCGCAGGCTGCGGAAGAAGCAGCTGCAGGGGCCGCAGGGGGAGCGGGGGGAGCGGGGGGAGTAGGGGAAGGCGCAGGGGGAGGCGCAGGGGGAGGCGCAGGGGGAGGCGCAGGGGGAGGGGCAGCGGGCGGCGCGGGGGGAGGAGCGCCGGGGAAGGGGAAGGGGAAGGTGAAACCGCCTGTGGCGGCGAAGGTTCGATTGGAGAAGAAGTTTCAGGAGAGAGAGGGGCAGTCGAGCAAACGGCTAAGTGGCAGCAGCGGAACCGTAGGCATAGCAGCAGGAGCAGCATTAGCGGGAGCAGGAGCGGGAGCCGCCGCAGCAGCAGGAGCAGCAGCGGGGGCCACAGCAGGAGACAGCACAACCAGCAGCAGCATTCCTACCGCCACCGCCGCCAACCCCGCTCCGTCCAACCCCCTCACCTCCTCCCTCTCCATCCGCCTCTCCACATCAGATCTCGACGCGCTCCCAAGGCAGGATTTCAAGCAGTACACACTTGAAGAGCTGCAAGCGGCTATGGATCACTTCTGGCGGAACAATGTGTGTGGCGAGGGCAGCTACGGGGTGGTGTACAAGGGATGGCTGGACGGACAGGCTGTGGCGATATCATTGCTTCAGCGCTTCACCCGTGCAGCCCGGAGGAGACTCATCCTTGCTGGAAACGCTGAAAAGCGATCGATCACCCAAGAAGCCGTCGACGCAATAACGTATCGTGGCGAGGAGGATAGAAATCGTCGCCAGCGAGAACGAAACTAGCGGCCTGATTCAGACGATGGCGAAAGTAGTCGTCGCTTTGAAGAAGTCAATGCTGAACGCCGAGAGGTCGGTTCTTAAGACGAACGCCGTTCCTGACGAAAGACATGGCTCCGCAGTTGTCGTTGAATCAACGGTAGAAGCTACAAGTGAAGGAATGGAAAATGGGGATTCCGCTTAGCCACAGCTGCGCCGTCGATTCCGCTTAGCCACGCGATTCCGCTTAGCCACAGCTACGCCGACGATTTCGCTTAACCACGCGATTCCGCTTAGCCATCCGATTTCGCTTAGCCACAGCTACGCCGTCGATTCCATTAGCCACGCTTCCGCTTAGCCGCGTCGCGAGCTTGTATGAAGTGATTAGATGAGCTCGTGGTGGTCGCAGCAGAGGGAACTTTCGAAATTGTTGCTGCTGATGGCGGAAATCGCTACTAACTGCAAAACTTCTCTGCTGGCGGACGGCCGAAATCTCTAAGAACGTCAGATATCTCTTCCGGGCACAACATCCGCTGCAGTTTACGGAGAGAACGTTGCTGCTGACAGCGAAACGGTTGATGACGGGGAAAATTGCTTCTTCTCGACTGTTGAGATTGGTAAAACTCGAATCTTCGGACGAAAATATTCACTTCTGCAGCTAACGGAAACGAACGCCGCTACTGACGGAGAAAACGTTCTAGTTTGTTTCTCGCGTTGAAACTGGTTCAGGAGATCACAGATAGTGGCTAGCGGCTTCACAGTCTGTGTAGATACCTATTGAATGGAGCGCAGAGTTGGTCGGCGAACGGCCGGAGATTACGATGGACGCTACTGGGAATGCATTTCGAGAGTCAGAAAGTGAATGGAGGAGCAGGAAGGCGGAGGAGAGGCGAAAACGGAGAGCAGCAGGGCGGAGCGATCGGAAATTGGGCTCGCTCCACTGCACGCTCTGCCTTGACAGTTGCTTGCTCCTGGTCTGCCTCAGTTGACACAATTGGAATTGTCGAGAGAGGTACTTGAAGATTCAGTCCGGTGGAAACGTGTTGGGAAAGGTCGCCTGATTGTTTTGTGTCTGGTTCGTCACTGGCCATCTCAGGCAAGGTTCAGCACAGCCCAGAGAGGTCTCAGCCAATCCCAAGGTTGGTATGGCGGTGAAGAAAGAAGCACCGCCGACATATATTGGCGCATCGCGCGGCTGCAAAAGCGCGCTCGGTTCCCCAAAGTGGCGGAATGACCGTTTTCCGCAAGGGGGACAACGAATGATTTCAGTTAGTCCGAATTGAGTTCGCGAAACAATATCTTGTCGCAGCCTACACGGAGATTATGGTGTTCGCGAATCTCGCGAAATGACGTCACCCAAACCAAACCCGCAAGCTGGGCCCCAAATTCGCTGACACTTCTTGATTCGCGGAGCGCACCCCCAGGTTCTGGGTGGCATGGCAAACCAACGGGTAGGCTGTGGGTTGCGCAGCTTTGGGGTATTTGCGGAAATCTTGCGCCAAGGGTTCGACGAATGATGAGAAATCTCGTGATCGAACGGACGGATTTGCTTCGTGCAGAAATGAACAGATATTTTGCTGCTTGGCCCTGAACAGATCACACTCTACATCTTTTAACGGAGAATTGGCCTTTCCTCCCCCAACAATCAACTGAATCCCTGCAAATGCCAGTGTTCTGTAATAGGGGGATCAATTTTTAGCATCCGATAACAACTAGAGCTGCTTTCACGACTTTATTCATATGGCATATATCATACATCATGTTGAACGACTGAAATTTATTCGTTCACTCTCAAACAAATTATAGGGTCCATAAACTTTACCTTTCATTGTTTACATAAAACCCCGTACAACCTCAGCCCCACCCCTAACGAGGCTCTTTTGCGTTGCATTTGTGCTTTATGGGCCAACCATGTATTTTCGCTTGCCTAGGTCTTTATTTGTAGGACATAAGTTGTATCATTTTCCTAGCTCTTCATATGTAAAATACACTTTCTATCTGTAACATTTTGAGTCTATCCAGGTGTGGTTTTGGTAGGATACGCTATGTTGGTTGTGGTGTGGGGAAAAGATACTTTTGCGCGGGTTCTTTTTTAATTTTTTTTTGGCTGTCCGTTACGGGCAGCTTGGAGGAGCTGTGACCACGTATTTGATACCGACTGGCAAGAGCCACCGATATTCCTTTTTCCTACGATCCGCATGCTGCTCCCAGCCATGCAACCGTGAGTTTGTGCGGACACCTTCGATTCCACAGTGGAACGAACTGATTTTGCGGCTGCGATCTGCCTAGCCCGATGTATTTCTCGTCGAAAGCTGTTGCGCTGGATAGGGAAGCAGCAAGCAAGGCCGCGAGTGCGACGCGACGGAAATCCCGTCATCATTATGCAGCTGCCACTCGAGCCATTCCTCCATTGGGGGTTTCTGACGTTTTGTCAGTCTCGCCAGCCAGAGAACCGCGTCCTTTCTTTCTTCCTCCCCGCTTCCTCGCTTCCCCCGCTCCTACCCTTCCCCGCTTCTCCCGCTCCTCCGTTCCCGCAACCCCTACACCACCACCGCCCCCCACCACATCTGCGCGCGTGACTTGCCGCTCCACCCTTGCCCCAACATTGGAGGCCTAGTGGTGGCTCGCATTGCATTGCTTGCATTGCGTTGGCTTGCCGCGTCCAGCCAGGCTGCCAAGTGCCCAGCTCACCCCACCCCGCCCCGACGCGGAGAGAAAAGTGGGACACTGCTCCTTCTGGATGAATGGGGCCAAACGCTGGCAGTGACCATCACCGCCACTGTGTGCTGGATGCACACACTGTGGGCTGTGTTTTTGCTTTGCTTCTGCTCTGTGCTCGCCAAGACGAAATCCTAACATCCTGCATTCTGATCTCCCTGTTGTTTCTCCACATTTGGTTTGGACTTCCGTTAGTCAGCTGATCAGCTTTCCGTGTTTCTACTGTGCTAATCTCTTTCAACCAAGAAGCGCATGCCGTTCGTGTATTGCTCCTATCCCCCCTACGACCACATGCCAGCCCTCCACGTCCGCATTCGCGCCGCGTAGGTTCCGCCACCATCGCCAGTTTCTTCTACTTCCCGTAGCGAACTCACGATTAGATCGAATTTGACAATCTGAGATGGCGTCGCGAGATGCTGACTTGGCGTCGTTCACCGACGACTTCCCGTCGCTCAAGGCCAAGTGGGTGGTGATGCAGCGCGCGCCCCGCCGATCGTCCGCCCCCTTCGACGACCTCGCCTTCGTGTAAGCCCCGCGCCGCCCGCCTACTGTCCCCCGCACTTCGGACTACCCGCTCCCCTTCCTCGCCTTCATTTTCTCGCCGCCTCTCTTTTTCCCCTCCTTGTTTCACTCACTCACTGCGCACGTGCTCGTTCCTTGCCTGCCCTACTCCGTCTCTCGGCCTCACTGTATCCTCCCGCCCGTTCCCCTTGCGCCAATCGCCCTTTCCCCCACCCCTGTCTTCCCGTCCGCCCCCCCCCCCCCCCCCCCCACCCCCCATCAGTCCCGACCACGACATTCTCGATACCGCGTGGCTGAACGCCGCTGGGGACCCCAACGCTCCGCAGTCCGCCAAGCCTCTGTCCGTCTCCGCGGCCGACCCCGCCGCGCCCAGCGCTCCCCGCGCGCTGCCTTCCGCGTGCGCGCTCCGCGACGGCGAGCTCGACGACCCCGCCGCCGCCAGCCAGAACGATCTGCTGGCCGCGTTAGACCCCGCGGGCGCCGCCGCCGACGGCGCTGCCGCGGCGCTGTTCCGCGACGATGATGACGAGATGGAGTCGTGGCTTCAGTATTCCGTCGAGGGTTCCGCCGCTCCCGCCGCCGCCGCCGCTGCCGCTGCCGCCGCTGCTGGCGCCGCCGACGTCAAACCGCCAGAAGCCAGCGACGGTGCCGGCAGGCCGTCAGGTTCCACGCTGCCGGCAGTCCGTCCCACAGAAGGACCCGCCGCCGCCACTGCTGCCGCCACTCCGTCGCCTGATCAAGATGGCGGCGCCGTCAATGACGGCGGTCAGCGCGGCGACGGCGAGGCTGTGTTAGAAACGCCTCCGCAGGCGAGCGGGGGAGACGCGGGACTAGGGGGAGCGGAGGGGGCGAAGAGCAATGGTGAGGGCACGACGGTAGCAGGCGGGGGGGAAGAAGCGCGGGGGAACAGCGCCATGGCCGCTCCCGTTTCTCCGCAGCTGTTGCCGCCGCCCTCCCCTAAGGAACAACCCCAGCAGTCCGCGGAGAAGCCGCCACTCCGCCAGCCCGCGCAGCTGCAGGGGGCACGCCACCAGCCGCTCCCCGCTGCTCCCCCATCCGCGAAGTGCCCTTCCCCTCCGCTCAACTTCTCTCATTTCTCCCGCCCAGCAGCGCTTTACAGCCGCGCGCACGCCAAGGGCCTTGTCTCTCATTCCTTCCGCGGGTCTGCGCCTCCCCGCGCGGGCTCAGCGGCGGGAGACTCCGCGCAATGGAATGCCCCCGGGTCTATGCTTCCGCCGCTTAAATCCCCGTCCGCCGTTGCGCGCAATCCCAGGGAAGGCGCGGCTGGTGCGCAAGCAGCGGTGGGGACGGGCGGTGTAGCAGCGCCAGCCAACAGGTGGTGCGGGCGCGCAGCCGCGGGGAACGGTGAGGGGGGAGGAGAGGTCGGTTCCGCCAGTGGCGCTAAACTTCCGGGAGGTGATGACGGGGGAAGCTCCCACGGCGGCCTCGCGATGCGGAAAGGCTTGGGCGGAGCGGCGGAAACCGGTTCCGCTGACGTGTCCGCGGCTGCGGGGAACTGCGGAACGGGCGAGCCAAATCGCGTGTTTGCGGCGGCCCAGCGCATGCCGTACGCGCCGTTGGCGGCGTCGATGGGGGGGAGTGCGGAGAGGCAGCGGCAGGTGCAGAGCTACTCCGCCAGTGCGGGGGGCGCAGGGGACCGCGCGCTGACGGGGGCGGGCGCAGCCGCCGTGCGGTGCAACAGCGCGAATACAGGGGCGGTGAGGGAAAGGGGAAAGGGCAGCATGGCGGTGAGCGCGGGGGCGGGGGAGGCGGACAGGATGTGGCCGGGCCGGGCGGAAGGCGGAGCGGGGATGCGGAACGGGGAGGAGCGGCTGGCGAGGGCGATGCGCGAGATGAAGGAGCGGAGCGCGTGGACGAGCAACACGTGGGGCAGCCGCGACGATTCGGGCGCGTGGGGCGGCGGCAGGAAGAGGAAGGCCGTCGAGGGGAGCGAGTGCGGCAGATCCGAGGTGCGCCACGCGTGTGCCTCGCGGTGCGCTGCGCGCTGAGTCCGCGCATTAGCTGCGTGTGCGCAAAGCATGCGCGAAGACGCAGCGCGCGTCCGCCACGGGATATGAGATCTTTCTGCCTCGCGCTTGACTCGCTTGACTCTCTTGACTCGCTTGACTCGCTTGACTCTCTTGACTCTCTTGACTCTCTTGACTCTCTTGACCCATGTGACCTTCACGCTCACGCCGCCATTCCCACCCACACTCACCCTGCTGCCACACTTCCCCACTCCCCACACGCTCACTCCCCCTTGCCTCTCCGCCGCCCTTCCGTTTCTTCCCCGGCGTCCCTATCCCCCGCCAGGACGTGCGCGAGGAGTCCGCGGACACGAGGCGCACGGGCGGCGCAGGGGAGACGGGCGGGGCGGGGAGGCGGTCGGTGGGGGGACCGAGCGTATCGGGGCGGGACGGGAGTGAGGGCAGCGCGGCGAAGCGCGCGCGGGCCGCTCACGTGCACAACCTGTCGGAGCGCGTGAGTCATGATGCCTTGCCCGCGCCCGCGCCCCTGCTCTTGCCTGTTGGGTTGCCCATGCATGTTGCGAGTAAAGTGTATTCAGTCCATACCGTGCCGCGCTGCTGCTGCTGCTGCTGCTGCTGCTGCTGCTGCTGCTGCTGCTGCTGCTGCTGCTGCTGTTGTGCTTATCTCAATTGTCCACACACGCGCAGCACACAGCTACGAGCTGCGCGACAGCAACTTGCAGCTACCGTCTTCCCTGCGCATAACACGCTCCTCTCCCATGTGTGTGCTTGTGCGTGTGTGTGCATGGTTGCCGTGTGTGAGCAGCGGCGGCGCGACCGCATCAACGAGCGCATGAAGGCACTGCAGGAGCTCATCCCCAACTCCAACAAGGTGCGGCCCCCATCTCCCGCCTCTCGCCTCCCGCCTCTCGCCTCCCGCCTCTCGCCTCTCGCCTCTCGCCTCCCATCTCCCGCCTCTCGCCTCTCGCCTCTCGTCCCCCGTCTCATGCCCCCGCCTCTCACCCCCTCCGCATCGCATCAACGAGCGCATGAAGGCACTGCAGGAGCTCACCCCCAACTCCAACAAGATCGCTCCCTCGCTCCTCCCCGCCGCCCGCTTCTCTCCCCTCGCCCTCTCCCCCTCCCCCTTCGCTCCATCCCGCTCCTCGCTCCCTCGCTCGCTCCTCTCTCGCCTCGTGATCTTCCATCCCACGCTTCCCCGCTCTGCGTCCTCTGCCTTCCTTGCTTTCCGCGTCTGTGCTCGTGCGTTCCGCGTCTGACCTCTCGCACTCTCCATTTCTTTCCCTCTGCGTGTGTGTGTGCGGTGCTGTGCGGTGCAGACGGACAAGGCCTCGGTGCTGGATGAGGCCATAGACTACCTCAAGATGCTGCAGCTGCAGCTCCATGTAATGCCGCCCCCCACCCGCCTCACAGCACCGCTTCACACCACACTGCCCACCTGCTCCACACCGTTCCACGTCACAGCACACTGCCATCCCTACCCTGTTGTGTGTGACGTCCTGCTGCGCACTTGACCTCTTCTCTCAGTCTCATTCGTTTCATCCGTCTCTTCCGTCTCATCCGTCTCTTCCGTTTCTCCCCTGCCTTCCCCTCCCCGCCATCAGGTCATGTCTCTCCGCACGGGCATCAGCATCCCACCGGCCCTCGCCCCCACGCCCGCCGCGCTCTCCTCCCTTGCCGGCTCTCCCTCGCTCTCCGCCTCGCCTTCCCTCTCCCTCTCCGCGGTCGCGGCTCAAATAGCCGCTCCTACGACCCCGCACTCCCGCGCCCCGTCCTCCTCCCTGCCTGCCGCTACCTCACCCACTGCTGCTGCCTTGCAGCAGCTTGCAGGCTCGGGTGCTGCCGCCTCCCTGCCTTCGGAACACAGCCTGGGAGGCCTAGGTTCGGGCATTGGAGGCCTGGGGCTGTCTGGTTCGGATATGGGCATGGGCATGGGCATGGGGATGGGCTTGGGCATGGGTATGGGTATGGGCATGGATATGGGGGCGGGCATGGGGATGAATGCGGGGTTGGGAGAGCTAGGGTCCATGTCTGTCCAGCAACGAATGCTGGTGGAGATGGCATGCGGCGGCGGTGCTGGCAGTGGTGGTGGCGGCAGTGGTGGCATGGGTGCAGAGGCTCCTGCAGGCTTAGAGCAGCTCACACTACTGCAGCAGAAGCTGCGGCAACTGCAGAACCTGCAGCAGCAGCAGCAGCAGCAGCAGGATTTGCAGCAGCAGCATCAGCAGCAGCAAAGCCTGCAGCAATTGCAGCAGCAAGGGCTTGGGGCCTTAGAGGAGAGCGTGGTTGGTCTGAAGTCAGCTTCCGGTGCCGCGGCGGGGGCAGCAACAGCAGGAGGAGGAGCAGGAGGAGGAGGAGGTGGTGGAATAGAATCAGAAGCGCTAGCAGGCATGGGTGCAGAGGGCATGCGTGCAGCGTCGTCCCGCCGTGCCCGTCTGCTGCAGCAGCTGCAAGCCATGCAAGCGATGAGTGCAGCAACAGCAGGTGCAGGCACGTGTAGCAATGGCGGAGGGGTGGGCGAGGGAGGAGCGTGTGAGGCAGAGGGACTGGCAGATATGAGTCGGTTGATGGCTGCTGGAGGGGGAGTCAGTGCTGCGGAGATTGCAGGCCTTATGGGGAGGGCAGGTGCAGAGGCGAGTGGTCAGGATAGAAGAGCAGCAGCAGCGGGTGATGCGGTAGAGGCGTTTTACATGAGGCAACAGCTGCAGCTGCAGCAGAGGTGGATGCAATTGCAGAAGAAACAAGAGCTGGAGAAGCGGTTGCAGCAAGAGCAGGCGGAACAACAACAGCAACAACAACAGCAGCAGCAGGTGATGAGAAGTTTTCTTGCAGGTGCTATTTGACTTTTTCATGTGCTGTTTCTTGTGTCAGGTAATTGCCGTATGCATGCGCTCAGGGAGGGTGCAATTTTTTTCTCATGAGCTAAGACTCATTGCCACCCAATGCTTCCTTCCCCCTGCAGGCTTTCAACATCGAGCTTTACCAGGCCATCCTTGCACAGCAACAGTGCCAGCAGAGGGTCTGATAACTGATGTGACCACTGACTTTTACGTTATTGTGTTTACAATCCCTACGTATTGTAGTGTGGTGTGCTTAGGTAGGTGTTTTGGATTGAAAAAATTGTTTGTGATACTAGCACATTACTGTCCGAGTTATGTTATTATAACTGCATACAAGTCTAGCTATAAGTATAATGGTGTTACATTTCTGTTAGGTGGTGCACCTCTTGGTTGTTCCTTGTATAACTCTCTCGTCACTTCTCAATGTCAGCCCTCTTTTGGCCAACTCTCTCTCCTAAACCCTAGTCTCTACTAGCTACTATTTTAACATGCTATCAGAGCCTATGACGGTCTAAGGACCTCGTTTCTCTTAAAGATAATGGGCCCGCCTATACTAAAGCGCGAAATCCGCCATTTCTTTTCCGTCCGCCCGTCCGCGAGCGCTCTGCCCTGCCCGTCCGCACGCTCGTTTCCCCCCGTTCCCGTCGCCCGCGGCCCCCCGTTCCCGTCGCCCGCGGCCCCCCCGTTCCCGTCGCCCGCGGCCCCCCCGTTCCCGTTGCTCGCGGCCCCCCGTTCCCGTCGCCCGCGGCCCCCGTTTCGTCGCCCCGCGCCCCCCTTTCGTCGCCCCGCGCGGACGCCAGCGCCACGGCCAGCCGCGAGCGCCAGCGCGGCCCGCCAGCGCAGACGCCAGCGCAGCCGCCAGCCGCCAGCGCCTGCGCCACCATCAGCGCCAGCAGCAGCTACCGCCGCCCCCCACCCCCCCGCCTGTTAGAATCTAGCAGCAGGAATGGATGAACTAACAGGATGCAGGAGTACAAGTAGTAAACCCTAACTAGGTTGTACCCCATATGGGCTACCCCACTACAGCCTAGACAATATGCAGCATATATAGTTTGACACACCCCCATAGGCAAAGTGGGGGAGAACAAGGGGTCACACGACCAGTCAAGAGAAGCAAAACAAGCTCAGGGTGGATCACAACGTCACCACGCATTCTGAGCACAAGCAAAGGGCCACTGGGCCAGTTCACATGCAGAGATATATATGCAGCAATAACAGTACAGTGATGGCTACCTAGCAAGAGCCAGCATGCATATATATATATATATATATATATATATGTACAGATCACAGTACAAGCAGAGACTACAGCAAGTGTGGAAACGTAGGCACAAGGCCTAACAGAGTACAAAAGCGCTGATGATCACCAGACGGAAGTGCCTTGGTGAATATGTCAGCAGTGTTGGCCCGAGTGGCCACGTGGCGAAGACGAAGCTGGCCTCGCTGCTGCAACTCTCGAGCCAGGAAGTACCGCAGAGCAATGTGCTTCGTTCTGTGCTCCAGTCTGTGCTCCTCACACAAGGCAATGGCGGCCTTGTTGTCAACGTACAGCACTGGAGGAGAACGAGGCTGCTCTCCCAAGTCAGTCAGCAGGTAGGTGAGCCAGCGTAACTCCTGTGCAGCCATGGCGGTGGCGTAGATCTCAGCCTCACAACTGGAGCCGAGAACTGAAGTCGAGCGTGTAGAACGCCACGAAACTGAACCAGAGCCAAGGCTGAAGGTGTAACCCTGTGACGACCGCTGAGTAGCCAGGTCGTCAACCCAAGAAGCGTCTGAGTGCCCAGTGAGGACAACTGGGCTCGTCCCTCCAAGCACTAGCCCCATGCCTGATGTGCTGCACAAGTAGCGCAGTACCCTCTTAGCAGCAGCCATGTGCTCAGGTCGGTGCCGACCAGGAGCCACGTAGCGAGCCAAAAGGCCAAGAGGGTACGCGAGGTCAGGTCGAGTGCAAGTCATCAGGTACATGAGGCAGCCGACTAGCTCTGGGTAAGGACCACTCGGCTCTACGGACTCGTCCGAAGGTGGAGCTGAGAGCGAGTGACCTGTAGCCAGAGGAGTGGCCTGTGCTGAAGACCAGGTGAAGCCGAAGCGCTGAAGGACCTGCTGCACCATGTGTGACTGAGTCAAGGTGATGGTGCGGCGTGCTCGGTCCCGGGTGATCTGCAAGCCAAGGTAGCTGCGCAGCTCACCCAAGTCTGTGCACGTGTGTCTCCTCTGCAGCTCCGACTTCACGTGGGCGAGTGCCGCTGTGTCAGCAGTGGCAAAGACCAAGTCGTCAACGTACACGAGGATGTAGAACGGCGGCAGCGAGGTGTCGGTGCGTAGAAACAGCGACGGGTCTGCAGTAGAAGGAGCGAACCCAAGAGCCGCAAGCGTCGTCCTCAGTGTGTCGTGCCACTCACGTGGCGCCTGGCGGAGACCGTAGACCGGCCGCTGAAGCCTCCACTGGGTGCCAGGAGGAACCGACCCAGTGAAGCCAGGAGGGCGGCGCAACCAGATCTCCTCGTGCAGGCTGCCCTGCAAGAAAGCAGTGCTGAAGTCAAGTGAGTGAAGCTCGTAGTCGCGGTGAGCGGCTATGTGCAGCAGCACCCGAAGAGTGGTCATCTTCGGGGTGGGGGAGAAGGTCTGGAAGAAGTCGACTCCCTCTCGCTGACTGAAGCCTCGAGCCACGTAACGCGCCTTGAAGACAGGCGGAGAACCCGGCGGCCGCTTCACCCTGAAAATCCACATGCCACTGACGATGTTCGCCCCAGGTGGGGGAACCTCGTCAACGTAGGTGCCTGTGGACTTCTAGGAAGCCATCTCTGCGTCCATGGCTGCCTGCCACTGAGAGGAGTAGGGACCCTCTATCGCCTCTGCGTAAGAGCGCGGAGTCGGGATGTCTGGTGCATCCGGGTCTCCCTCAGGGGCAAGTAGCGAGGACACAAGATGAGGTAAAGCAGCAGCAAGGCACTGGAACTCCTCCTGCCTGTCCTCAAGGACGTCCGTGCTAAGAGCACACTCACCCCCGACGGACGGAGGACAGACAGACTCAAACTCAGCAACAAGACTGGCAGTGAAGTCTAGACGACAGGCAGCAGCAAAGTCAACAAGCTCAGCGACAAGAGCAGACGCAGCAGCAGACTCAAACGACGGGTCAGTGACAACTGTGGCTAGTAGACGCGTGACAGTAGGGTGCTGAGCACGAAACCGGTCAGACGCAGGGTCCGGAACGTCAGGCAAAGAGGACGCAGGAGGAGACGGCAGAGGAACAGGCTGCGGAACAGAGGAAGGACGACGGACTACGAGGTGCGCGCTGGGGACAGCCGGCGGACGCGAACGAGGAACACGAGGACCGGTACGACCAGGACGAGCAGGCGAGACAGGACGCGACGCAGGCTCACGACGCACAGCAGGACTACCAGTCAGCTCAGCGTAAGGAGAAGGAGCAGGCAGCGGCGAGCCAGTCTGTAACGGAAGACCAGTAGACGACGGAAGAGTAAGAACCTGACGAAGAACAGAGGCAGACGGCGGCAGAGACGACGGAGACGGCGGAGCGAAGAACAGTCGTGTCGGCGCAGCTGCACCAGAACCAGCAGCTCCAGCAGCTCCAGTGCCTCCAGCAGCTCCAGTACCTTCAGCAGCTCCAGTACCTCCAGCAGCTCCAGAAGCTCCAGGCCCAGAGCCGACACCTCGAGTCCCAGGGTCTCCAACCTCTGTGTCTCCAGCAGCAGCACCCCCAGAACCAGCACCTCCAGTCCCAGGGTCTCCAACCGCAGGGTCTCCAGCAGTAGCACCCCCAGAACCAGCACCTCCAGCTCCAGGGTCTCCAACCTCAGCGTCTCCAGCAGCAGCACCCCCAGAGCCAGCACCTCCAGTCCCAGGGTCTCCAGCCTCAGTGTCTCCAGCACGAGCCCCTCCAGAACCAGCAACTCCAGCACCTCCAGTAGACAAAGGACCAGCACGACTCCGAGCTCCAGCAGCGCGACGCTGACGGCGACCGTACCAGTCCTGCAGCTGCTGTGGGGTGAGAGGCACACGGGGACGAAGGCGGCCACTCCAAGGAGACCGCGCAACAGCAGACTCAGAACCCTCAGCGCCCGCACCCCCAACGGCTCCAGAACCTCCGGTGTCAGTACCCTCAGCACCAGTACCTCCAGCGACTCCAGAACCTCCAGCGCGAGCACCCTCAACAGCTCCAGGACCTCCAGCTCCAGCGCCACCAGGACTAGGCCCTCCAGCAGCTCCTGAACCTCCAGCGCCAGCACCCTCAGTAGCTCCAGAACCTCCAGCGTCAGTACCGCCAAGCTCAGC